AAATATTTCACCATTATGTTTTTTAGAGAGGGGTGTGCGATAGACTTACCTCCACGTGGTGCACCCTGGGCAACGTATACTCATACGGCAAAAAAGTCTATTAACCGGCAGTTGACTTCTGACTTCAAACTACCCCCACTGTATGCCATATTCGGCCCATTTCGGAGTACTCATCTTACCTTTTCTCTGCTCTTTTGTCTGTCTCTGTCACATCTGTGAATCATTATTCTGTCCCCCCTCTCGACTTTTTGTCACTTTGATGTTCCTCCTCCTCTCTGTGAAGCCTGAAGTCAGCTAAATGGCTAATGATAACCATCAAAACGCCTGCCATTTGAAATAAATAAATAAATGTTTTTTAGAGACGGACACAGTTTCCTCTAAATAAAATTTTAATCCGATTAGATAACAATATTATCGCCAAGGCAAGAAATAACCCGCGTTGGACACCTTAGAGAGAGACAAAGAAGCTTTGAAGATTGCATCAAAATTTGCCATTCTTGCGAAATAAAAGGTATGCTCATTTAGAGATTCCCAGCTACATCTTAATTTTGGGCATATTTTCCAACTGTGTTACGTGCAGAACTTCCCACGTTGGTTGTTTATATGTGTTGGATTATATATTCCATCTTGGTGTTCGATATAACTGTCTATTTTTTAATTGCATCATTATTATTACTCGTAGTTTTTGGGAAGCAGTTTGCGGTAAATAACAGAAAAGCTCACATTGATAGTCGAGACCATTGGAAGATGCATTCGATTTTTGGACCAAGGTTGTATCATATTAATTAAATTAGCAGTTCATGCTTTTGCCAAATTTCAATTTCACGATTACTCTCGAAGATTGTAGTTCAGTATTTATTGGTCATGCAGCTTCGATGCATTTCTCCCTTTAATGGTTGAGAAGACAAGTTATCTTACATACTATTCAAAATTTACTGCTTTACCCTATCAAACTTAAAAAAAGACTGGCTGTGCTTCTAGTAGGTTAAAAATAGCAGGTGTAAATGTTGGTGCTCATCTGAAATCAAATTACTAGCAATTTTACTTATTTTAACCTCAAATAATGGCCAAAATAAGCATCTTACTAAGCGACGGCAAGCCCATCAGAGGTTGCGAATTTAAGTCATTTCTGTAGAAGTGTTAACCCAACCAGCCAATAAAGGGGGTGGTATAATTCATGATTTTAACCGGTAAAGCCTTAAATTTTACGATGTGGCTCCAGCTAGGGGCACTATCAAAAATTCTTCAAATACCCTATGCTTCCATTCACTTACCAATTTAAGTAGGATAATTAATCGATTAATCGGCGGTATCACTAAGGAAATGCTTTTCGTGACAATACAACATTAGCTTTAATCGAAATTATGCATACTATTTTCCTCTCGAAATTTGAAAGTTAAGCTAAATAAGCCTCTTGATATCTACTATTAATATTTTTATACTTAACGATCAATGCTGAGTTCATTGTTTTTGTTTGGAAATATCAAACTTAACTAAGCTTAAGCTCAATAATTGAGAAAACAGCGGCTCCACCAATGAAAAATCCAAATATGTCTGCTACTGATATAAAAGAAGTAGCATTAAATTAACGCTTCAAAAATAGAATATTAGCAAAGGAAGAAAACTTAAAAATCCAAAGCATTAAAAGGCAACTCTCAGAAATTTAAGCCAGTTAAGCTGACTTAAGACCATCAATGACACTATCCAAATTTCGACCGCAATTCAAAATAAAACAGCTTTCAAAGCATAGCAAGACCAACAACAATAATGAACATAAAAAGGCGTAGGCTAGTTAATAAATTGTCCTGAGAATTAATAAGTATTCATGTAATGCACCCTAACACAAAAGCGAAGCAAAAATTTTATAATAAAGAATTTTTCGAAATCTTATGAAAATAAGCTTAGAAAATAACTAAATAACAGAGATTTATACAAAAATGCACAACTGTACAATGTATACAAATATCACTTTTACTTGTGGGACCTTATGAAAGCTATCACTTCATCTTTTACAGCATTCGCCCTTGCGATGATATCAGGAGGAAGGTTTTGTCGGCCAAGTGAATTGAAATATTGTTTGTTAAAGGCCAATTCTCGAATCACATCAGCTACAACAGACCGCAAGTTAGACAAGAGTTTTTCAATTGAATCATCCCTGGAGCATTTGGATTTAAGAAAGAGGAGACGACCTTCCAGTATCCCGAAATCCTTCGTAACCTCGAATCCAGTATTCAATCCATTATCGAACACTTCAGCTAAACGGGTTTCAAAAGCATCGGACAACGCTTCGCGTTCCCCAGTAATCGTGATATCATGCATCTTCTTTGCCCATTCCTGATTAGCTAATTCCATTTCTGCACACTTATCATCAATTGTAGAATCAAATACGTCGTCCATCCCTCAGGAGCGCAATACGACACGGCCTAGCGATTAAAATAGACCGCTTCCTCTCAATGCAATAAAATTATATCATGAGAAGTGCAGTTTTCAAGATTGACAGCAAATTGTGTCCATATCCGCTAATAAATAGAATATTAATCCTGAAATATGTTTTGCGCTTTAATACGGATCAAACGAGCATTAAACATATTTTTACTTAGATAATAAAAAACAAAAGCCTTTGAAAATAATTTATCAATTTAAAAATCTTTTGTTGTATCTTAAACAATTAAGTACAAAATATTTAATAACTTTTCATTAAATTGTGTATTATTGACCTTATGACGATTTGCCCCCAGATAACTCGTCCGTTCAATTTCATTTATTTCTATGAGAATAAGGGGATCTAATATTGCGTTTTTACTCAGGTTTGCGTGTGCCTTAATTTTTTTTCACGCTGCTTCAACACATGAAGGAAGAGAAGTAGCATTTTATTTTTCCATCTGATGAAACTTAGGAAAGGCCCACTTTGAGTCCGCAAATTGAACTAAACAGATTTCTCCGCTCTTACAACTATGTTGATAATTATAAAGATACTAGCAAACAAGTCAGTCGTGATGTCCTAGCCTTTATTACACCGGTAGTCTTAGTTTCTTCAGTGGTTATTCAAAATTAGTGGAACTCTAAAGGTTACGAAATGGCGAAGATTTTTGCAAAGAAATTCACAATTATATCTCCAGTTTGGTTTCAGTTAAAACCGATTGATTACGAAATTGATGGTATTCAGAACATCGACTTCAAATGGATGGAAAGCGTCAAATCAGCGAATAGCAATATCACATTTGCTCCTAGGGTTATCTTTGAGCAATGGAACGCCGGTGATTTTCAGAATGTTTTTACGAACAATCAACACAGATTAGATTGCATCAAAGCCCTTCGCAACCTCTGCAAGGTATTTTGTTGTCAAAAATCTCTCTCGTTTGTGCTATTCTAAAACATTTTTTTCTTTTTCTCTCAGACTCATGGCTTTAGTGGACTAACTTTGGAAGTTTGGATGCAACATTTCGGGACATCCCAACAGTAAACATTTCATACAGATTGTATCATCTGTTCTTTAGAGTTCTTATGGATTTTCTGATCGAACTTGCTAAAGGACTTCACATTGATGCAAAGTTTTTAATTCTTCCCATTCCTCCATCTGTTTATAAAGGGTATGCGTCTAGCTCATCCCTTATGTTTTGTCCTAGAAACTTTGAAGGCAGGTTTGGTAAAGCTCACTTTGATGTACTGGCAAAATATGTTGATTACTTCAGCCTAATGACCTATGATTACTCGAATCCGTACTCGTAGGTTAATTTTATTGAGCTAATTTGTTTACAGCCCTGGTGAAAACGCGCCCCTTGAATGGATAACCCAGTGTGTTAAAAATCTTGTTCCTAATGACAAAGACACTGTGAAACGTGCTCGAATTCTTACTGGTATTAACTTTTATGGATATGACTATACTCCCTCACAAAGAGATGGTCGAGCTATTGTCAGTCATGAGTAGGACAAAAGCCATTTTGCTCTTTACCTCTTTCGTCTTAGAGTAGTTGATATTGCAAAGAAGTTTTCTCCGAAGTTTAAATGGCACACTGACTCTTCAGAACACTCAATGGAGTATATGTGAGCTGCGTTCGATTTCTTATTTATCTTTTGTTCTATTAGTTGTGTTATTTTTCTTATTTTTCCCAAACAGTGATGAAAAAGGTCACGAGCATTCTCTCTACTTCCCCACTATTTACTCCATCGCTAAGCGAGTTGCTATGGTGGAGGATATGGGTACTGGATTGTCAATTTGGGAGATTGGCCAAGGATTTGAGAGTTTCTATGATCAGATCTGATAGTCTAATCTGTTAGTCTTTTTCTTGTTTAATTTCCTTGTTATGGATATGTATTATACTCTTAATGTAATGAATTTTCTTATACCTTGGTTTTTTCTGCTCTCTTTGTTGGGTTGATGATGATGCAAGCTCATGTTATGTGCTCTTCAAATTTTTTTCAACACAAATCATTGGTTGCTGGCAGTGAGGTCCCTAGAATTGTAAAAGTCGTATTCAAGGCCCAAGAATCTGGAATCACGACATGGCGACCTGAGTATGGCTGACTTCCACCCGTTATTAATAGTCGTTGAAATTAGAGTATGATTGATTCGATACAGTCACATGCATGAAATGCAAACAGAGAAATGAAATAATTGGCTGGAAGAAAATTATTTGTATTCAAGTGCATAAACTGGGAGTTTTAAATGTGCATTTGCGAAGTAGATAGTTTGGGGGGGGG